GGAGCAGCCAACAAGCCACAGGGCTGCCCAGGGGAAGGACACCACGTGAAAAACCCTGCAGAGCCCCTCCCCAGAGAAGCGGGGAGCCTGGGCCCCGGCACGACCCAGGCAGCGCCAATTGCCCTGGTTCAGTAAGGACAGTGCCGACCTGGAGGACAGAGGGAGTGAAAAACCCAGCTGGGTCAATGGGCCGTAGCTCCATTGGAGTGAATGTGGAAGATCCCAGCTGGGTCAATGGGCAGTAGCTCCAGTGGAGTAATAGAATCATAGAGCCATAGAATACTAGGACTGGAAGGGACCTCGAGAGGTCATAGAGTCCAGTCCCTGCCCTCACGGCAGGACCAAATACTGTCTAGACCATCCCTGACAGACATTTATCTAACCTGCTCTGAAATATCTCCAGAGATGGAGACTCCACAACCTCCCTGGGCAATTTATTCCAGTGTTCGACCACCCTGACAGTTAGGAACTTTTTCCTAATGTCCAACCTAAACCTCCCTTGCTGCAGTTTAAGCCCATTGCTTCTTGTTCTATCCTCAGAGGCCAAGAGGAACAAGTTTTCTCCCTCCTCAATGGGGAAGACCCCAGCTGGGATCAATGGCCCATTGCTCCATTGAAGTACCTGGGCAGTGTGTAAGCCTATAGATTCTCCTAGCCCTTTCACTGTTTTAATCTATTCTAGGAAGGCCGTAGAGGTATTTTGCACTGTGGGACGTTTACTTTGGCAGCAGTGTAAATTGGCTGTAAGTGAGCGGTAAGAGAGGCAGTGTTTTTGAAATATTGTTCTGTAGCATTAAATAGCACAGAGCTAGAATACAGTATTCAGGAATGATAGCTCGGACCAGCTCTTCTGAGTAACTGAGATGAAAGCGCGAAAGCCAGTGTGCTGACAGGGATCGTGTTAGTATTTTAGATTTTATCTGGAGGTCCTAAAATAGCCTGGGCTGCCAAAGGGAACATCTTGCTTTCTCAGCAAAGGAGGGGGCAGTGGGTTCTGTGTGGCATTTCTTTCAATTGTAACCACAGGTTCCCCTTTTAGGGATGCTCACGCGGGCCCGGCGTGATGTCTCGTGCACATTCAAAGAGGTGTCTTTTTTCCATTCTCCAATCCAGTGTGTGCACCCTCGAAAGCCTAAGGGTACGGAAATCTGCTTTTGGCTTTGAGGGCTGGGCTCTGGGTGACACGAGATGGCCTAAAACCCCGCCCCCCACGGCAGGCCAGGCTAAAAACCCTCGTCTCTGCTTTCCCCCTCACACGTTCTGCTTCGTTCCTCGTTGCAGGACTAGCCCTCTCTTACAGCCTCCTTTCCCTCTGCCTTGCATCTCACTGGGAGACCGCTCCACCAGCTGGTTGGCTGGTCCTCCAGCTCAGGATTGTCAGGAGGACGTAAGTATGTCATGCTTATGAGAAGCATGCGGGATCTTTTTAGGGGAGAAAACAAGATGGCATGTCCCTTAAGAATACAATATAGAAGCTGCTAGCATTCAAAAAGACACACACGCACACACGTACACGCACACACACACACACGTACACACACACACACACACACGTGTCCTGCGGATGGTGCATTGTGGCTCAAGTCCATCTGGCTGGCTAGGCCAGGCTGAGTGAGGATCGGGGTTCCTCTGAGACTTGGCTTGCAGGACCGAACCCAGATTCATACTGGCCAGAGCTCCCCTTCTTAGCCATGTCAGTTCCCATTCGCGTGGGTGGGTGTTGATCCTTAGGAGATGTTGAACTGTGATTTCCAGAGTTCTCCTTCGATGGTGATTGTCAGATTTCCCACCCTTGTCTCCCTTGTGTCTTACTCTTGGGGTGTCTGACTGGCTCCAGGGTCCCTCCGTGCTGCTTATTGGATTCTGCCTCAGTTGCACTGTGTGTTTTCTGGTTCTCTTCAAAGTCCCTGCCCACATGGCCGTTTGTGATGCTGTCTCACTCTCACCCCACAATTGTGCTGTATTCCAGGCAAGATGAATAGTTACTAAAGGAAGAGAAAAAATCAAGAACTCTTGTACAATGTAAAGATGAACAAACCCTGTCAATGGGATCATAAGCTACTGTGGGTGGAACCCACTTCTTCAGATGACTGGAGTATTAACAGTCCAGTTCCAACGTAAATAGAGGATGGGGGGAGGGGGAGAAGGAAGGAAAAAACTCGTGAATTTGAGTGTTCGTGTTGCTGATAGCGAAGGGGGAAATTGTTCTGAAGTACCCAGTGGGGGGCTGGTTAAGTCACTGGGATGGGGAAGGCAGTGTGCTAGCCAGGCAATGTCTTTAGTCAGACCTGTGTGCTGGGTCCCAAACTTGTGAATGAAGTTAAGTTCCAATGCTTCCTTGTGTATTTGGCTTGTGGAATTGGCCTGAAACAACACGGTGACTTGGAGATCCCTGGATGAGTGTCGGGCAGGTGAAAGTGTGCTCCAGCGGGTTTCCGTGCATTGTCCATTCATTCTTTCATTAAGTGGCGTAAGGGGGGCAGGCTGGGAGGGGGAAATGTTCCAAATGACACTTTTCTCCACTCAAAATGAGGGTTTGGGTTGATTGACACATGTCACCAATTTGTGTCAATTTCGCCGCCGCGCTTCAGCAGGGAAAAAATACAAGAAACAACCCTGAGAAATGGCAACGTTTGGTGTCACACGGCCAGAGTGAGGCGCTTTGCTCTTTTCCCCACCTGAAGTGTCTTGGCCTTGCTGCGTGGGCGGGACTTTTCATTCTGTCACCAACGTGAATCTTCCAATTGCTCGGAAAGGGACTGGCACCGTTTTTCGGCCTTTCTGGGGACGAGAGGTTTGGGTCAACCCAACATGATGTTTCCCAATATTTGTACTGCCAGGGAGCCAAACCATCGGGTGTTTGTGCGGCTCTGCTGTCTGGTGCTTCTGTCCCACCCCCAGTCTCGGCTGGAATTCCCTTTCCATTCTCATTTCGGCCTCATCTCTCTCCTCCTCCCCTCCGGCAGAGCTCGCTGCATCGGCCGTGAGAAGGCTCCTCCCAGCACCATGGGGGTTTCCTTCCTCCTCTGCCTCCTCCCTGCTCTCCTAGCCACAGCCAGTGCCGAAGGTGAGTCGTCCGTGCTGTAGCCACTTAACCCTCCTGGACTTCGACCCCTCGCGTTCCTCAGGTCCCCGACCAGATCCCCTCCAGCACATGTATGGCACAAGGGCCTGTCCACACGACAGTTATGGTAGCGGCTTGGCCACAGCACTGGAGCGGGGCTGGCAGAGAGTGTAGTGGAGACGCTGCCTGGCCCAGGAGAAGGGGGTTTCCCTCCCTCGAGGGGCTCACCACCCGAGCGGGGGTGGCCAAACCGAGGGGAACATTCCCCCTCAGCCCAGCCGCATCTGCACTGGGGTTCTGTCGGCCTCGCTGTGACTGAGAGAAGGATGAGGATGGGGGATGGGTGCATTGGGGGCACACAGAGCTGGGGGGAGAATGGAGGGTCCTGGGATGGGGGATGGGAAATTGGGGGTGCACACAGAGCCCTGAGAATGAGGGATCCTGGGAGCGGGGATGGGGATCCCATAGATCCGAGGGCATGAGGCTGGGCAGTTTCATGATGGCCCTGTGGCAGAGGGGGTGGGGGGCACCCCAGCAGTTTGTAGGGCAATGGGGGGGCTGCCAGGAGCCCCAGGCAGTGCTAAAGGTTCAGCCAATTCCCATTGCAAGGGGAGTGGCTTTCTGGTACTATGAATATCTGTAGCATGGGAAAGACCTCCTAGGTGGGTGGAGCTTAGTTGGAGGGAGGGGCTTCGTAAGAGCACCGCCCCCTTCAGCTGTCCCCAGTCTGACCTCTCGTGGGCAGTTGGTCCGGTGGCTGAAACTGCCATCGCAGAGGGTCCCAGAGGCCACGGGCCCCTTAGCCCCTCGGCTTGCTGGGAGCAGGGGGGATGCGGGCTCAGGGGCGGGTCCTCCTGGTGAGAAGGAAACGTCTCTCCCCGTAGTTATCAAATGTGTGCGGTGCCGCGGCTCGGCAGCCGAATGCCAGGACACAGGTGGCTGCATTTCCACGGTAGAAGTAAATACATTAGGTAGGTGATGTTGCACCGATCCCAGCCCATCTCACCCCCAACCTGGGCCACCCTCCCCACCACGGCCAGCCCCGGACTTCAACCAGTGACTACAGCGGGGCCAGGATGTCCTGCCCATGGGCAAAAGCTTCCGTGCCAGTCTAGATGCTCGCTTGCGCAAGAAAGCTCTGATGGCCATTTTAGCCATCGGGCTTTCCTGTGCAAGAAATTAACTTGCCTGTCTACACTGGCCTCTTGCACAAGAGGGCTTATTCCTGAGCGGGAGCATCAGAGTATTTGCGCAAGAAGCCCTGATTTCTTACATTAGACTGTCAGTGTTCTTGTGCAAATTCTCGTGGCCAGTGTTGACAGGAGGCAAGTTTTTGCACAAAAGCGCCTGCTTTTGCACAAAATCTTGCCAGTCTAGACACACCCCTAGACTACATGGCTCTGTCGATGGAGCCATGTAAAGTAGTTTTTTGGCGGCCATTTTTATTTTAAAGAAGCAGGGAACATTGACTGTGTCAAGTAAACTACTTTACATGGCTCCATCGACGGAGCCATGTAGTCTAGGCGCACCCTGTCTGTCTGTCTATCCCCACACTCCCATTTCTCTCTCTCTCTGAGCACACCAGGAAATTGTCCAGCTTCCTCTCAAACAGTCTGATTGAACTTTCACCCATTCAGGGTCTGGCTGCTCTGCAGAGTTGCTGGGGGCTGGGACCCAGGGTTTAGCCGAATCCCCTGCCCCACAGCCCCTGGGAGCCCCACACAAACCCTTTCACCTCAGGGGGTCCGAGCTTGGCCAGGCTGGCGCATGCAGTTTGGGGTGCTGCTGAGACCCTGGCGTGGCTCTACTTCAGCTTGGACTAAGCTCCCCCCCACACTCTGCAGTGCGGATGCAGCTGTAACCAGGGTTACTTCATACCGAGGTAGGGACAGCCAGTGCCAGCCCCACCGGCTCAAGCAGCGCTGCCTAGAGAGACTCAGCACGGAGACCGGTGCAGCTCAGTGCGGTGCGAAGAGCCCAGTCCAGGCCCCCAAAGGCCCAAGGCTGTGCCGGGTTCATGCAGCCCCGGCCTGGCCCTGTCCGGGTGGCTGTAACCCCTGGGATGCAGCAGTGCGGATGCTCACACCAGGGCATGGCCAGCCCAGTTAACCCAGCACTGCACACGGCCACCGATTCCCGGCCTGCAGGGCCACAGGGACCCTCGTGAGCATCTCGTGCGACCCTGCCCAGCACAGGCCAGAGACCTGCCCCCGCTCGTCCCTGGAGCTGGAGGAAACCATCCCGCCTGGCTTCCCACACGGTCCCTGGTGGAGAACCCGCCCCGGGCCTGGGGGGGGATGTTTCTCATCGTGAGGGGAATTAGCCCCAGGGGTTATCTGCCTCATTCGCAGACGGAGTCTGTCTGGCGGCCGCCCCCAGCTCCTAGGCGGGGGCCGACCCTCCC